CATTTATGCATTAAGAAACCAAAAACCACACGCGTTAATACACCATAAAAATATACCCACTAGTATACCAAAAAATACACACAGTATTAACAAACACTAATCCACCAAAATAACCAATAATACATGAAAACACACACTAATAGACAAGGAAATATACACAAACCTAAAAACATAAATAATAATACGCCAAAAAAACACACACTAATAGTCAAGACAATCTAACTGGATACTAAATTTTTCAATACACTGATCAAATACACAATAAAGTTTTCTTTCAGATAATTGACGCCACAACAATTTCATACTAACTTACCGGAAAAGAGAACAAGAGTTATTATCCGTGCATCTAAGACATATATCATAGTCAACGAAACTTAAACAAGAACGTGTGTTCAAGAACTACTAACAAACAAGTTGGGATGACTTATGAAAAGTACTTTTAGGACTTACGACTTTTCTCACAAGTACTTTAAACAAAAAAAGTAGCATCTATTATCCTTATTAAAATTACTTTTAGATAAGTCAATAGTAATGTCACCTCTTAAATAAGTCAATAAGTAGAAGTGAATTACTTCTCTAAAATCACTTCTATATTAAAAACTTCTTCTATTTATATATCAAAATACACAAACTATTACAACAAAATATACACACTAATATGTAAAAACACAATCACAAATACTAATACATCACAAATAACATGCACACACTAAGATGTGAACACACACGCACACACATTCATTCATCCACAATAATACACACAAATATATCAAAAATCACACGTACACACTAAAACGCACACACAACCCTACTAATACATCAAAAATAACACACACAAACAAACACACTAATGTGTAAAAACACACATTCACATACACTAATACACCAAAAATACACACATATACTAATTCACCACACACACATCATGTTAACACACTAACCCACCAAAAAACACGCATGTGCTAATACATAAAAACACGCGCACATACACAAACACTAATAGACCAAAAATCACATACATATCCCTATACACCAAAACACACATACTAATATATCAAAAAAATACACACAATAATACACAAAACACTGGCACGCACACTCTAGCAAACCAAAAACCACACACGTGTTAATACACCATACAAGTATACCCACTACTATACCAAAAAATACACACAGTGTATGTTTGTACACCACACAAGTATACCCACTAGTATGCAAAAAAAATACACACAGTGTTAACATACACACGCTAATACACTAAAATAACCACTAATAAATGAAAACACACACGTGCACATACACACACTAACACACAAGGAAATATGCGTATACCCCAATACACTAAAATACAAATACTAATACACCAAAAAAACACGTACTAATAAACCAAACACACCCCATTCTTATAATCAAAATACCTTTAGAGGGACACTAGTGCGACAAAAATACACACATGCACACTAATACACAATAAACACACACTAATATATCAAAATACACATACTAATAAACAAAAACACACACATACACCAAAATATACAAAGTAATACAATAAATTACACATCCTAATGCACCAAAAAATACACAAATAGACCAAAAGAGTACACATAATCACTTATACTAAAAAAAACACATTAATACCCCAATCAAACAAACAAACACACCTATACACCATGAGACACACATACACACTAATGCGTCAAGCTCACACACAAAAGAGTAGAACTCTAATCATTCACATTGGCTACAATCATATAGTAATAATATTAATAGTCCCAGTGCCCAAATAATATTATCAGTAGATTGCTTTTTTAGGTAATGTTGATGTGAGAAGGTAGTTTGATTTTTAATACGTGTGAATAGATATTTACTATTAAGGGATATTGATTTTATGAAAGTTTTTGTTGTTGAAAAGTAGTCGGTTTGATTTTCATTTTCCTCTGGTTCAGTCGTGCTATGTGGATAAAATTGATATTAATTATACTATTTGATTTGATTATCATGTATTCAATTAGATTATTTTATTTTATCCATGCACTTAACTGACATAAATCGTAACTTGATTTAATATATGAACCTGATGAATATATACGATACTTACTATCAATGCTAATATTTTGTTTGTAAATCCAATTTATGAGACATGTAACATGATGGTGAGTCTTGGTGTGGTGTGATGGATGTATCCTCTTGCTAATTCTTTAGAAACACAAAATTCTAGAACAAAGTGATCCAACAACACAAATTTATCTATAAGTATCTGATATGAACTCCAGCGCAAGTACAGATACATGCCAAAACACACAATTGAGGAAAAACATTTGTCACAATACATGTGTATAGAAATATCATATGCATTTACTTACATAAGTTGTTAGTTTTTCTTTTAAGATATGAACCAAACTGCTAATTAGAAATGCTACATAGTGTCAATGGAATAAAACAGTTATTTGTAATCCAAAGTTAGGAGGAACAGTAAAATCGCAACATGTGCTCAAATAGATTTACAAGATGTTTTGGTCATACCAGGTTGCTATTAAATTAAAAATAAAAAAGAAAAATGGGATTGTCGAACCACGAATGCAAAGGCAAAGAAGATAACAGAAAAAAGAATTATCGAAATAACTAATCTCATCATGTTTCAACCGCCAGAATTGTTCTTTTTTTATCAAAAGGCTTCACAAATCGCAGTCACATATACTTCGTCAATTTATAGTAATACCCTGTTAATAAATAAGTAAGATAGAGAAGGAAAAGAAAGATAATTAACAAAATCACTAACCATATCATGTTTCAACGCCGGAATAGTTTTTTTTTTTTTGGGCCGAAACACCGGAATAGTTCACGAAACGCATTAGTTATATATCTTGTGATTCATACAGAGCCTATCAAAAAAACCACCAGAACCTAAATTTAATTTTACAATACAAATTGCAATCAAAAAACAGCATGAAATTCAATTAAATCAAATTTAAAAAAAAAAGAAGCGAAACTAATGTGATAACTCTATTCAACCAAGAACGCATTACCAATTCCACACAGGGAAATCAAAGACTGGATCAATTCCATCAAGCAAAGAATAAAAGTTTTGTGCAATTAGAAGGATAAAAATGGTCGGGTTAATCAAAGAAGCCGCTGAGCCACATAGAGAGGAAAGGAGCAGAGAGGGAGGGAGAGGGAGACATACCTGGGCAGCGTCGATGGCGGTGCGTGAAAGGGCATCGTAGCAGTTTCGTTATGGTGAGGCAGTGATGAGACAGAGATGCGTAGAGTGATGAGAGAGAAGAGAAGAGAGGGGTGGCGAGAGAAACAGGGGAGAGCGGAAAGATATCGTAGATGTTGGTGGCTGTTGGTGACCTGTGAGTGGCGGCCGATACGGTGAAGAGAGGGGAATAGCGTCTGTGTTGTTGAAAAAGGTGAAGAAAGAAGACAGAAGTGAGGGAGAGTAGAAGAGAAGAGGGGCGGGCGAAGAAAGAAGGGTGTTGTGCACAGAGAGAGACAATTGAATTGGGTGAGAGGGAGAATATATAGGTGAGGTGTAATTGAATTAGGAAAGCAGAGAAGAGAGAGAGAGAAGTATTCGAATTAGGAAAGCAGAGAAGAGAGAGAGAGAAGTATTTGAATTAGGAAAGCAGAGAAGAGAGAGAGAGAGAGAAGTATTTGAATTAGGAAAGCAATGAAGAGAGAAGTATTCTAATTTGGAAAGCAGATGGGAGAAGATCCGTTAGGCAGAGGGGAAGATTTAGTGATGTCATTATTTGGCGTGATTTAGGTCAAGGAAAAGAGTAAATTATATTTTGTATCCTTAAAGATTTAATATTTCTTATTTTACACCTTTAAAAATTCAATTTTTCATAATTTTCCTTCAATATATTAAAAGTTATTGTAATATAGTTCTGTTGTTAATTTTCACTACTCATTCTGTCAACTTCAATAAAATGATTTTGATAGAATAAATAACTAAAGATAATGGAAGTACCATATTAAAATATTTTTAATACATTGAAGGTACAATGTAAAAAATCTCATTTTTGAGAGTATAAAATAAAAAAACTTAAATCTTTCATATTCTCCCAAGTAAAATGAAAAGTTTCTAGACTGGAAAAATATTTTCAAATCAATGTAAGATCTATTTTTCTTCCATGAAGTGTGGGCTAGTTGGCAAAGGTTGCAATCCATGGGCCGTTTTTAAGGCTTGGGGTCCATCGAGATGTGTGAGAGAATGTCGACATTAAATAGTAACGAAAATTTGTATCCATGTCCACCCCTAGGCCAAATGGTATCATCTAACCTTTTTTTAGGGAAGAGTTAGACATTCAGTCGGGTTGAATTTATGAACTTGATTTTCTCTTGTCCCTTGAGTTTTCACATTATCTCCTAAATTATTTTACATTACACCAAATACAAATGATTGCCTTCTTTTTGATAGGAATTGTTAAGTTTTGGGATAAAATAAAAAAAATCACATTTTTCTGAAAAAAAAAAGTAAACAATTTTTTCTTAAATTTATAATGAATATTAATCGTTGAGACGGTGTTAAACTAATCACATGATTAAGTGTATGATGTAAAATAAATGATTTTTATGGGACAATATTTAAAAAGAGTCATAGTAAATGGGACAAATATATAATTTACCCTTGTTATAGTCACACATCGTTTATAATTTATACCAATTCATCACAGTAAAGTTGTCATCTAAATTTCAACATTAAACTACAAAGGGCACACTATAATATTTTAAATTCGGAGGGTAACCTCCTCAAATCGGTGCAAATAGTGGGGCCGTTATTGTAATTATCTCCTCCTTCTCGGGGTTAGTGTTGGCCTCATATAATCCACTAACCAATCGCATTCTAGGGTTTTGTGAGCCAAAGAACAGGAAGAGGATACAGGCCCTGTAGCTATACCTCGGCGTCTTTCCTCCTCCTTCTCCTCCTCATCAGCTCTCCCTTTCTCTCTCTCTTTCTCTGTGGATAGTGCTCGCATCTCTCTTTACAGATCATACGATGCAGTCCGATGAAGGTGCCACGTCCATGGAACTTGAGAAAGTTCTATCTGAATCAAATCGTGTATCTTTTGCTTCAAAACCAAACTTTGCACCTTTGAAGGCTCACGAGATATCCGATGGTCAAGTTCAGTTCAGGAAAGTCTCTATACCACCGCATCGATATACGCCTTCCAAGAAAAGCGTGGATGGAAATTTACACTCCTATATACGAGCAGATGAAAATCGACATTCGTATGAATCTCAAGGCTCGCAAGGTTGAATTGAAGACCGATCAGACACACCCGACATCAGTAACCTCCAAAAATGTGTTGTTTTGTGCACGCTTTCATGCTTGGATTCGACGTGATTGACGTCGTTGCAATTCTCCTCATGGACGAACTCTATGTGGAGTCTTTTGAGATCAAAGATGTGAAAACCCTTCGAGGCGAGCACTTGTCTCGTGCCATTGGAAGATTATCTAGTAAAGGGGGTAAAACTAAGTTTGCAATTAAGAACTCTACGAAGACTCGGATTGTGATTGCAGACACCAAAATTCATATACTGGGTTCTTTTGCCAACGTCAAAATTGCAAGAGATTCTCTCTGTAGCCTTATCATGGGGTCCCCTGCTGGCAAGGTTTATTTGAAACTTAGAGCAGTTTCTGTCAGATTGGCAGAGAGATTTTGACAATGTTGAGCATTATACTATTTGATTGTACCTTGAGCTGAATTTTTTGCTGAAAAATACTGTTTTAAGAGGTAAAATTGCAGTGGTTATGCTTGTTCTCATGTGTTTGTCCAGTGAATGGTCTAATTTGCAGTTTGAAACTTACCTATATGGCAAGACTAATGTCATGCCTATAAAAATATTTATCAAAAGATATTTTTACTAAATGAGTTCACACCTTCATTTCACTCTTGAACCCCACCAACTCATTTGGTAAAAGTACTTTTTGGTATGAATTGCATTTTTCATATGCAATTATAGGTGCCTGCTGGATTTTTGCCAGTAACTCCTTGCTAATTACTCTTTCACAAGGGTGGGATCTCCAAAAGCTAGACATTAGTTTCATAATTTGTTATGCCATTTCATTGGAATGCTTTTGAGACTATTTGTTATCAACTTAGGCATCTATTACTTGGGAGCGAGGTAGTGATTGTCCTTAGATTGGTTTCTTATTAAAAAAAAAAGCAAAATTTACTGCTAGTCCTAGAATTTGCACAGTATGGGGGTAAACCAATAGTCCACCTTTTTCTTATGAAAGAGATTCCCAAATTGAGACATGGATTAAAAAGGAAAAAAAAACAAGTATCCATTAAAAAGGGGAAAAAAAGAAGGGAAAATAGAAGAAAAGAAGGTCCTAGATTTTGATGAGTCAAGTAGAGTGAACATGTTCAAATGGCATTATCGAATCCATCAAACTAGAACCCTGTATACAAGTTTACCAGAAGCGTTCCAATGTCTATAACATAAAACATCAATCTTGGTCAGGTAAAGCCTCAACTGTAGAATTTATGCCATTTCCAATATGCGAAATAATTTCAAAAAGTAGGCACTCTAGTCTAGGGCCATATAAACCTACTCTCTAAACCCAAAAAGCAAAGAGCTTTTGTAGTTGTACTAAATTGACAAACCAAAAAGATGATATATTTTCCAAACTCACACACCTAGATGAAGCAATTAATTCAAAACAAGCACTAAAAAGATGATAAGTTTCCATCAAATTCAATTTGGATTTTATCTCAATCTTTTCACAGCTGATCATGCTTAGTTTCAAATTGAAAAACCCAGATTTGTGTGTTGGACTTTGATTAAATATCAGGCTAAGGTCTCAGCTTTACTTTCTTTTTTGTTTCATACGTTCTTGATATGGATTTAACATAACTATGTTAACTAATGAATATTCTCTACATCGAAAACTGAGTTAAATACTCTTATGAATCTAATGTTTTGCGAGAGTTTGGGATGAATTTCAATTTGCATTTGGTTGGTATTTGATTTTTGTGACTAATATAATATCCATCTTCTAGATCTAATATTAGATGTCATTTTTTTAGTCTTGATTCTATGAAATGTATCACTATTTCTAATTTTAAATATTATGATGTACTAAATATTCTAAAACATATTGGATTGAATAGTTGGAGGTAGTTTTAGGTGGTTTGATTGATTGACTATATTTTATGTTATATACCGTCTTCAAGCTTGCTTGTAATTTTTTTGTTTGTTAAATAGTATCTTCAGACACAAACAATTACTAGTTTATATAATAAAATAGAACAAGTTTTGAATTCAAAGACAAAAAAATGACTAAGCTTGTTTTATGATTAAAAAAAAAATAAATATCATCCGACAGACGATACTATCTCGATTTGTCACAAACTATTAGGACCTGTTTGGTACGTGGGACAAAGAGGGATTTGGAAGATGGGTTGAGGAATAAAAGTCCACAAAACCCAACAAACCCATGTTTGACATCTACATTTGTAACCCAATTTACTAAACTCAGCCTGCAATTTAAACCCAAGTTCATGGGTTTCATATGGAGCTTAATGGGTTTAATATACAAAATGACATTTATACCCCCATAAAACCCATGTACCTAAACAAACATGAGTTTGGATTAAATTAGTTAAGGAGCACAATAGTGATTTATATACAAATATATTATTATAATAGTTATATATCCATGCACATACTAAACATGGATAAAGATTGCATTGAATGTTGAATCTCATCTTTAAATCTCATTTCTGGGATTGGAAGAGTTTGGACAAATCAATCCAAACCCAAAAAACCAATCCAACTGCCCTTTAATATCTAATATTATCTCAAAATTTATTGTTTCTACGCACCAAAATGAATTCCCAAAATTTTATATCGCCCAAAAAACTTTGGGGTTGTTTGTTTGTTGTTTTATATTTTTGTTTTGAGTTTTTGTAAAAAAAAAAAGAAATATGTTTGGTAATTATTTTTGTTTTTGTTTCATCTACGTTGTCTTGGAAACAAGCTAAAAAAATGGGAATAAAAAACTGATGTTTTGGGAAACAACTCAAAACTGAAACACGCGTATTTTGACTCAAAATTTTTTAGGGAGAATTACACTCAAACCGCTGAGGTTTGTCATTTAATCATTCAAACCCCCTAAAATTTAAAATATTACACACAAACCCCCTAAGATTTGTACACGCGTAATATTTAGACACCTGCCGTCAAATGTCTGTTAATATATCTGTTAATAAATTAAATTCAGACCCCTTAAAGTTTGTAAGTATATAATATTTACATCCCTTAAATTTAAAATGATATAATTAGACAAAAAATATCCCAATCAAATATAGAATATAAAATATTTTAAATTTTATAACCAAAATTCATTATATATTGTATAATTTATTGAAATAAAATTAAAAATAAAAGTCAATTTTTTTTCAAAAAATAATAATTAGTATACAATTATACTATCTATTGAAACAAAACTAAAAAAATCAAGCATGAGATTTAAGTCATTCATAACATAACATGAATTTTACAAACCAAAATTCATATTTTATTATGTCATTTATTAAAATAAAATCAAAAATAAAAATTTATTTTTTTCTTAAAAAATTCTTAACTAATATATAATTATACTATCTATTGAAATAAAACTAAAAAAACAAATTAGGGGTTAAACTATAATGAACACAATATATTTTAATTTTACTTGGGATAATTTGGTCGTTTAAATGACCAAATGGTCTAAGTAACTCCAGCTATATTAGCTCGATGCGCCTTTATGTATCAGGTATTAGTAGGCTCTGCCCCAAGAATCGTAAACCGGGAACCTGGAGGAGAAGGTAACAGGCAACGAATGGAGTATTCAGAGAGGTTTTAGTTCACATTTATTCAACTGAACAAACGCGAGCTATTGAGTAAGATAAGACTGTCAAACTATAATGAACATAATATATTTTAGTTTTAATTGGAGTAATTTGGTCATTTAAATGACTAAATTAAATTCTAATAGATAGTATGATTATATACTAATTATGATTTTTTTTTTTAAAAATAGATTTTTATTTTTTATTTTATGTCAATAAATTTAATAATAGAATATGAATTTTGGTTGTAAAATTTAAAATATTTGATATTCTATTTTTAATTGTAGTATTTTTAATCTAAATATAATATTTCAAACTTGAGCGGTCTAAGTATTACACGTTATAAACTTAAAGGGTTATGGATGTAATTTATTAATGGATTTATTAACACATTGACGACATGAGTTTAAGTGTAAGTCGCATACAAATCTCAGGGGGTTGTGTATAATATTTCAAATATCAGAGGATCTAAGTGATTAAATGACAAATCTCATGAAGTCTGAGTATAATTCTCCCAAATTTTTAATGAGGTCTCGAATCTTGTTAACAACAACATTGGATTATTTTTTTAGGGCTAATCTTAATTTGTATATAGAAAGATCGCTTGAATCTCAATTTGTAGTCTCAAAATTTAAAAATATCAATTTACACCTTAAAGACATAAATTCGTATCAATGTGCAACTCAGATTAACTATCATCCATTTTGTCGTTAAAAATTTTGGATTAATTATAAATTGCAGCCTTAAAACTCAATTTTCATATTTATGATCCAAAAATAGTATTTCTTTCATTAATGCTCGTTAATTAGCTCTCAATTGTATCGTACCATAACATTTTTGTGTCATGTTCGAATCAATAAAAAAATATTTTGAAAATTTTTAAAAATTATAAAATACATATTTTTTGCTTATTATACTTGTTAAATAGTTTTTGTCTACAATTAGACACAAATTTTCTATTCGATCAAATTAAAGTTAGATTTGAATAACACAAGTGTAGAAAAAAAATAGCTATTTAATGAGCATTGTAGGTAAAAAAATAAGTATTTTTTGTAATTTTAAAAAAATATTAAATAGTATTATATAAATTGTCGTAAATGTGAAAATATACGACATAATGCAATTGACTCGATACGAAAATATTTTGTGTTAAAACAAAATATTTTCGTATCGACTTGAACACAACACGAAAATGATATGACATGATACAAAATAACATGATACAACACAATTGAGAGGTATTTAACAAGTATTAATAGATAAATTCTTTTTTAATCATAAATGTGAAATATTTAAACTTTAAGGTGTAGTTTGTAATTATTCCAAACTTTTTTAACGGCAAAATGGATGGTAGCCAACCCCTGGTGCACATTAACATAAATTTATGTCTTTTAGGGTATAAATTAATATTTTCAAACTTTGAGGGTATAAATTAAAATTCGAATGATCTTTTAGGGTGTAAGTTAAAATTAGCCCTTTTTTGTTATGTAGGTATAAATTGTGAGTTTTGATTTCACTTGTGGCATTTTCTGATGGTGATTTTTTTTTTTTTTTTGAACTTTGATGGTTATGGGTTTTGGTGGAGTCAAAATAGTAACTTCTATTGCGCAGGAGTATCTTGCTTGTCGTCACCATCCTGAGCGATATAAAAAAAATGGAGATTCATGGTATGTGAATGTACAACATTTTACACCACTGGCGCCTGATAGTACATTAAAAATACTGAATTTTTTCTCAAGAAAGGGAGCAATTTTCATTAGCCAGGCACCCCTCTAGCTTCACTCTTTTTAGAACGAAAAAGAGGGGACATGATCCACCAATTTACCACCGAGTAATTACTGTGTAATGGTAGCCGATGTTGATTTTTTTTTAAAAATTTGATTTATTAGGTTCTAAATGATCCACAAAAGAAAGCAATCTATGATCAATATGGTGAAGAAGGGCTACAATGACAAGTGCCATCACCAGAAATATTTAATCTACCATTTATCTTTGGAGGAAAAATATTGAAATCTACATGAAAGATTCCTCCCATGTTGATGCCTTCTCTTTCTAATGCAGTATAAGGATGGTGCAAACCACTATACATTAAATGAGGAGCTTAAAGAATGACCGCTTTTGTAACACTGCTTTTATTTTTGAAACGATTTAAATTAAATAGATCCACGATTAGATGCTATATTTCTAAACTGGATTCACTCGTGTCCTTCTTCCATCTTTTTTTTTTTTTAAGAAAAGTGAAATCTTATTTGATTGAATCTCAAAAATTACAAGAATCAAGAACATAACTGTTTCAACAAGAAAACAGAAAACAGTAAACTGATTAAAAAAAATCAGAAAAAACTGCCATAAAACTTTAGTATTTTCTTCTGTATAGCCTGCAGCATCCTCACCTCAACTTCTGGCTCTTAGAACCCCATCCTTTTCAGCCTTGCAAAAAGCATATAGGACTCCTGGAATAAAAATAATCTTCCAGGCAAAATGCCACTAACTGAAAAATCAAGATCAGTCTACTATACATAGCTGCTGATTTTTTGGCTCCATTCACTGATTTTTCAGTTAGTGGCATTCTGCCTTTGACTGGAAGATTAATTTGACTTGGGTTCTCTAGCACTTGAATCAGGCACAAAGAGCTTGTAAGGCAGCATTGGCAATAACCATTTCCAAGAAAGATCACATTGGCAATTTAGAACATACATATATACACTTCAGGGAATGGACCAATTACTCTAATCCAATTACTCAATAATCTACTCAATAACACAATCAATAATCAACTCAACTCAATAATCTACTCAATAACACAATTAATAATCCACACAACTCAATAATCAATAATCTACTCAATACCCAGAACACCTCTTCGTGACATCAGTTACACTCTATACAAAAGATGAAAAATTGCAAGAGAGAGCTCTTCCGAAATATTAAAAGGCATAACACCTTCAGTTCAGGAACGACATTGCTCTAATGATGTTCAACACCCAAGTTAAAAACATTCAATATTGATATTATAACTGGATTCAAATTAAAACTATTATCAATCCAAAAGATACTTGGGTGGATCCAGAAGTAGACCCATCTTTATTTATACTCAGGATTTTCAGTGGACCAACAAATTACCTTTCCTATATGTTCAAGCCTATGAAAAATTACACTTAAATCTGATGGTTCAAAACCTTTTCTTCACCAATCATTCTAAACCCATTTAACCACTCTTCCTATGAAGAAGAACCAGACTACCAGAGTTACAGAGAAATGTTCCTAAAGGAACCATAGAAGAAAAAAGATCTATTCAACTTTAATTGATCAATGCAACATGTGCGCACAAATTGAATAAAACCAACTATTGTTCACGCAATATAAGCACAACCAAATCAAGCAACAACCATTCAAGAGATCAAGAAAAGTTGAAGAACATTTACCAGCACAATAGTGGTGATGTCACGAAGAGGCGTTCTTGGGTACCGAGTAGTGCTGGGCGGTGATGGGGCAGCCTTCGAAGGTGGTGGTGCTTCGATGGTTAGGTGGTGCTAGGTGGTTGTGGATGGTGATGCGATGGCGGTGCTAGCAGTTGGCTAGGGGGTGTAGATGGTGAGATTTCTATTTCTCTCGCCTGAAAACGTTAGGGCTCAGATGGGGAGGGGGGGAAGAAGGGAAAATAAGGGAAAGAAAGAAGGGGAGGGAAAAAACGATGTTCAACTTAAAAACGTCAATTGTACTGACGTTTTTAAGGTCCTTGAAATGTGTCTGTTCAAGCTTAAAGACGTCATTTGAACTGACGTTTTTAGGCTAAAAACGTCAGACCGACTGACGTCTTTAAGCCCAAAAACGTCAAACCAATTGACGTTTTTAAAAGTACTTGAGTTTGAGAATTATTTTCAAACCAACCCTTAATTGAGATATTTTTTTTAAAACGCCATGGGATGGTTGAAAAGCTCCACAACACAATGTTAAAAGTGAATTATTATTATGCTTTTTTCAAACTTCATCGGGACGTGGTGGGGGGATTCCTGAGGAATGCACGTGACTCACAAGCCAGGAAATCCTTTCAGTATGTGGGAGATAGAGAAGTTAGCAGAGGAGGCTGGGTTGCACTTGGTTGAAGAAGTATATTTCACCACACAGGATTACTCGTGTGATGAAAATAAAAGAAGAGATGGGTATAGAAGCAATGACACCTTCCTTGTTGGACAATGCAGTACATTCAAATTTTATAAGTGATGATGTCCAGCTATCTCTCTTTGGCTCAATTAGTTATCCTAATCAAGATCTCTTTAAGTGATCATCATTATTAGAGATGATTTCACATCAAGAGCTTTAAAAAATGTAAGGGAAAACGATATTAGAAACAAGAAATTCTAGGTTAATCATGGATCTTATGCACTAGATCGAGTAATTCTACTTGGACTTAAACTGTTAACTTAATCAGTAATTGTTATTGATTTAATTAAGGGTCCCAGTATTTATTGAAACTCACTTCATATTTAATAATTGTGATTCTTGAAGTCAAAAAATTAAGTAAGAATTTTAAGTCCAAATAACATTTTTCCTAATATATCACACCCTGTGTATAAGATGAGGGGCTCACTTATAAATAATGGGTTCCACTTGCATTAATGATAGATAATTTAACAATGAGTAAAGTTGAGCAAAAGTATAATGAAAAGTATCTTAATCCCATGGTATTGATGGTAACTCCATTTTACCTGAAATAAAATCTGCATCGCATTGTAGATCAAGGCAGTTGTTCACTCTCTTTTTTCTCCACTTCAGGGAATTAGTTGTGTCACCACCTAATAATATAAGTAGACAAGTGAATCCTATAAAGTTTAATAATACCCTATCTATATAAGATAATAACTACTTATGCAATAAAATGAAGTTCATTTTAACTACTTATTGTTTGTCATTACATAGTGCCACCACGTATCAATGGTGACTTAATGTCGCCACAACACCATGACTTTAGAATAGTCACCGAAGTAGTTCAACTTGGGAAACAGATGATCCCACTTGTGGAATCTTTAGTGAGTCACTTCAACACTTTACACCGGAGGGGAATGAATAAGGACCGCTATTGATTTGCTCTTTGAAACTGCGGTTTCTGGGGGTTAGCTTAATTTCTGGTGGTATGGAAGAATAAGCACAATGAGAAGGAGGAGGAAGAGCAGAATGAGTATGATGGAGGGGAAAGAGTGATGATAAGGAGGAGGACAATGAGAAGGAGAAAGGGAAAAATGAAAATAGGGAGGAAAAGAAAGGAGAAAAAGAAGGAAAAAGAGGAAAATTGGGAGGAAGAAGTGGGGAGAAAGAGAAGGAGGAGGAGGAAAAACAAGAGGAAGAATGAGGGAGGAAAAAAAAGAAGGATAAGGAGGAAGAGAATGGAAGTGAGGAACATTTGGTGAATTGCGAGAAACAAAAACTAAAACAGAATTGGAGAAGGAAAAGGAAAAAGAATGAAGGAGAGGGAGAAGGAAGGAGGGGAGAAAAAGCTGAGGAAGAAGGAGAAGACGAAGAAGAAAAGTCACTTGAAAGATCGAAATTTATGATCAATCTCATTTTGCCCTTGAAAGATACAAAAATGCTCAGTTTGGCTTCCCGAATAATTAATTTTTCCACATTATCCCCTCAAAGAAATAAAAACGTTACAATGTAATCCACTTTCTTATTTCGGTTTGGTTGTCTATCTGTTTTGTACCAAATCAAACAATCAGGAATCACAAAACAAACGGACGACCAAATGAAAACAAAAAAAAGGAAATAAGATAGTGGATCACATTGCAACATTTTTATTAGTTTATAGGGGTAATGTGAAAAAATTAATCATTCATGACGCAAACTGAGAATTTTTGTATCTTTTAAGGGGAAAAATGAAATTTTTTCCAAAATTTATAGCGGCTTTGAGAAACATCAGTGAATTGCGAGAAACAGAAACTAAAACAAAATTGGGGAAGGAGGAGGAGGAGGAGGAGAAAAAACAAAAGGAAGGAGAGGAAGAAGAAGAATGAAGGAGGAGTAGGAGTAGAAAAAGCAAAACAACACTAAGTCAATATTACAAAGTACTCTTTTGCGATGAGCATACATTGATGGAGAGGAAGAAGGAGGAGAATGATAGGAAGAGGAAGAAAGAAGAAGAAAAAGGTGAAAGAGAGAAACAATAAGAAAAAGTAGAACAAAAAAGAGGAAAAAGGAGGGAGGAGAAAAAAGAAAAAAGAGAGAAAGAAGGTAGAGGAGGGTAGAGGAGAAAGATAATGATGATGATGATGGGAAGAGGTGGAGGACAATGAGAAGGAAAAAAAAAGAGGAAAAAGAGAAGAGAAGGAGCAGGAGAAATAGAAGAGGAAAAAGGAGCATGGGAAAAGAAAAAGAATGAAAGGGAGGAAAATTGGGAGGAAGGAGTGAGGAAAAAGAGGAAGAGGAGGAGGAGGAAGAGAATGAAGGAGTAAAAGAAGAAAAAAAATAGCACTATGTAAATATTACAAAATACTCTTTTATGATGGGCACACATTGGTGGAGAGGAAGAAGAATGCGAATGATAGGAATAAGAAGAAAGTGGATTATTAAAAAAAGGTGAAGGAGAGGAATAATAAGAAAGAGTTTAAGAAAAAGGAATAGGAGGAGGAAGAAGAAGCAAATAGGATAAGTAAGTAGAAAAGAGAAGGATGGAGGTGAAAGAGAATGATGATAAGGAGGATAACAATGAAAAAAAGGAGTAAGAGGAAAAGAGAGGGGAGAAGAGGGAGAATGAGGAAGAAGAAGAGGAGAAAACAATCCAGAATAAGACAGAGTAGAAGAAAAAGGAGGAAAAGGAAGAGGGTGGAGAAGGGATAAAATTGAGGAGGAAATAGAAGAAAAGGAAAGAGGGAGAAGGAAAAATGAGAAAGGAAAGAGAAGGAATAGTAGGAAAATCAAGAGGAAGAAGAAGTGAGGAGAAAGAGAAGAAGAATGAGGAGGACAATGAGAAGGAGAAGAAGGAAAACAAGAGGGAGAATCAGGGAGGAGAAAGAGAAGGATAAATAGGAAGAGAATGAGGAGAATGGAAAAGGAAAGGAGAAGGAAAAGAGAAGAGTAGTCACTCGAAATATTAAAATTTAAGACGACTCTGAGGAACATTAGTGAATTGCGAGAAATGGAAACAAAAATAGAATCAAAGAAGGAAAAGGTGAAAAAGGAGAAGGAAAGAGAGGAAGAAGGAAAGAGAGGGAGAAAGATGAAGAAAAGGAAAAGTTGAGGAAGAAGAAGAAGAAGTAAAGAAGAGAAGTCACCCGAAAGATCAAAATTTAGTGTCAATTCCATTTTGCCCCTGAAAGATACAAACATCTCAAATTATCCCCATAATGATTAGTGTTTCCACATTGCCCCCTTAAAGAAATAAAAATGTTGTAATGTGGTCCACCGTCTTATTTCTGTTTGGTCGTGTATCTGTTTTGTACCAAATTAATCAATTAGGAACCACAAAACAGACAGACGATCAAATGAAAAAAAAAAAAGGAAATAAGACGACGGATCATATTGCAACATTTTTATTTTTTTTAGGAGGCAATGTGAAAAAATTAATTATTCGGGAGACAAACTAAGAATTTTGTATCTTTTAGGAGGAAAAAATAGAATTTTTTCCAAATTTTATGGCGACTTTGAGGAACATCACTGAATTGCAAGGAATAGAAACTAAACATAATCAGGGAAGGAAAAGGGGAAGAAGGAGGAGAAAGGGAGGGAATAGAAGGAAGGAGAGGAAGAGATGAATGAAGGAGGAGGAGGAGAAATAGAACAAATGAAGGAAGAAGGAGAATGATAGAAATAGGAAGAAAGAGGAGTAGAAGAAGAAGGTGAATAAGTGGAACAATAAGAAAGAGTAAAAGAAAAAAGAGGAAGAAGAAGGGAGGAGAAGGGAAAGGAGATATGGAGCCAGTGAGTGGCAACTGGTTCAGTGGTGCTATAAAAAACAGTTTTCTATGTGCTACTAGAGCTACTTGTCCCTTGTCCTTTCTTTTCAGTCAAGGTCTAACCTCGCATAACTAATGAAAGGGAATATCTTAGAACAAAACACGGTCAATATGCACAATGCCTAGTATCCAACGTTTATGGCTAAGACTACTAGGGTATCTAATCTCATTCGCTCCCCTAGCTATCGTCTCTCAATGTGTAGTGTCGGCCTAGCAAAGTACTCTCGACGTTGGTGTTTTTTCCGATCTCTACGCATTTCACCGCTTCACCAGAAATTCCTCTGCCCCTATTGTACTCTAGCTTGGTAGTTTCTACCGCTAGTCCAAGGTTGAGCCCTGGGATTTGACGGCAGACTTTTCAAGGAGGAGGAAGGAGGGAGGAGAAGGAAGAAAAGAGAGAGAAAGAAGAATATATGAGAAAGAGAATGACGATAATGATGATGACGAGGACAATGAGAAGGAAAATGAGGAAAAGAGGGAGGAGAAAGAGGAGAAGAAAAAGAAGTAAAAGGAGTAGGAAGAGATGTAGAAGAAAGAGAAATAGAAGAGGAATAAGGGAGCATGGGAGGAGAAAAAGAAGGAAAGGGAGGAATAACAACAAAACGGAGTAGAAGAAGAAGGTGCAGGAGAGGAATAATAAAAAAGTATAAGAAAAATGAGTATGAAGAGGAAGGAGGAGAAAAATGAGGTAAAATAAGGAAAGATGAGGAGGTGGAAATGGAGAGGAAGAAGGATGGAGATGAAAGAGAATGATAATGAGGACAATGTGAAAGAGGAGTAAGAGGAAAAGAATGGGGAGAAGAATGAAGGAAGAGGAAAATGAGGAGGAGGAGAAGAAACAGAATGAAGGAGAGGGAGAATGAGGAAAGAAGAAGTGGAGGAAACAATCGAGAATAAGAAAGAGTAGAAGAAAAAGGAGGAGAAAGACAAGGAAGGAGAAAGGAAAGAAAATGCGGTGGAAATAAAAGAGAAGAAAAGAGGGAGAAGGAGCATTAGAAGCGAAAGAGAAGGAAAAGGAGGAAAATCAGGATGAAGAAGAAGTGAGGAGAAAGAGAAGGATAGTGAGAAGGAGGAGGAGGAAAACAAGAGGAAGAATGAGGGAGGAGAAAGAGAAGGATAAATAGGAAGAGAAGGAGGAAGGGAATGGAGAGGGGAAGAAGGAGAAGCAGGAGGAGAAGAACAATCACTCGAAAGATTAAAATTTATGGCGACTCTGAAGAACATCGGTGAATTGCGAGAAACAGAAACAAAA